TACTATATTTATTAAATTTAAAATTAATATTTATTTAAATAATATTTATACCCAAATATATGACTTTATTTTATTTAAACTTTATTTAAATCAAAAAATTAAAAATTAAATAACTCAAAAATCCCACTCAAATGTCAAATTCTTGTTATATAAGCATGACATGGCAATATTTTGCCATCCAAGCAGCCAAGCTGGTGTGTTCCAAACGGCAGTTAAGCCAGGCAACGGAGTCCCAAACGGCAGTTAAGTTGGCATAAGAATAAGGGCTTAATTGCTTTGATCCCAGAGTTTAAGGGCTTACATGCATCAATTAAAGTTTAGGGGCTTAATTGCCATACTGGGGTTAGTTCAGAGGCTTAACTTATGGTTTTGCCTTAAAAAAGTCGTTGCATGTTTTGTCTTTTACTCCTCCTCTTCTTTGTCGGAAAGTATAAAAGAAGGACAACTGGCAACTGGCGCATAGTCGTTCGAGTCGTTCGACTCGGGCGTACCTTCTTGCGAAACCGCGCGATGCCTGCCGATCCTTGAATTGATTAAAGTCATTGATTGACGTGTCCCACATGACATGTTGGTGTTGGACTTGGACAAGCTTTAATGGTCTTCCCTGAGAAGTTGCCAGGAACAGCATTGATATTTTTAAAGCGCGTGCAGCGAAAGTTTTTTTTAAGAATTTTTTTATTTGTGTTTCAAAATCATTGAAATAAAAAGAAAAAGTTTTTTTATTGGGGAAAATTCTCAACTTTAGTGGTTGTATTTTTTTGAATTTTTTAATATTTAATAATTACATTAAATTTTAATGAATTAAAATTAAATCACATCAAATTTAATAAAAAATTCTTTCAGTATTTTTATCTTTTTATTTATAAAATTTAAATTTAAATTTTTATTTAAAAAAAAAAAATCAACCATATTTCTACCTTTTTGTTTTTGGTTTTGCAAACATGGGAACGCTATTGTGGTTTGGTTGTGGTTGTGGTTGATGCCGTTGCTGCCTCTAATAAAGGATTAGAGGTTGGAGTCAAGAGAAAGGACCTCCACTTGGTGATGGATGCGTGTCATCTTCTAACCCCCTTGAGCCTTGATGGTCTTTTTTTTTTTTTTTTTTTAAGTGTAGTGGTTAAAAAATTAGTGTGAATTAATTGTTAACAATTGATTTTCAGATCGGATAAATATTTTACTTCTTTAAATAAGGTGCACAACTATCAGATTATTTTTTGATAAAATTTACGATGATAATAAAACTCAAAACTTTAATTATTGTACCTAAATACTTAAAATTTGAGATCGTATCATTAGATTTAAAAACTCAATTCCTTGGTGCTCCAATTAAATTCTTTTAAGAAATTCATTTTCTTCGATCGATGATAGATAGTGGCAGGTTATCCGGACGACAAGTTAGTTTACCGATTATCTAACCGTTGAATGAGTAGAAAACCAAGACTATTGAATGAGTAATTTATTAATGATTTGAGTTTTTTTTTTCCTCTTTTCGGTAGTTGGGCACTCAGACTAAGGAGTTTGAAATTTCCACCCAAAAAAAAATTTGAATCTTTGGGAATTTTGTAACATTCGAAGAGGGTTGGCGGGAGGATGAGGGACAAAGACGA